GCAGGGGCATTGGGGGTCAGGGCGATGGGGGAGGGGCGTTAGGGGAGGGGAGGGGCAGGCCTGGCAGGGGCATTGGGGGTCAGGGCGATGGGGGAGGGGCGTTAGGGGAGGGGAGGGGCAGGCCTGGCAGGGGCATTGGGGGTCAGGACGATGGGGGAGGGCGTTAGGGAGGGGAGGGGCAGGCCTGGCAGGGCTGGTGGGGGTCAGGGCGCTGGGGCAGGGCACTGGGGGAGGGGCGCTGGGGGGGACTCTGCCCCACCCCCCAGCTGAGCTGTGCTCCCCCCAGGTGGCCGAGCAGCTGATCAATCCCTTTGGGGAGGATGACGACGACTTTGAAACCAACCTGCTGATCGACCGCAACTTCCAGGTACCTTCCCCCACCCTGCCCCCCACCCTCCCCCCACCCTGGCCCCCACCCCCCTGCCGGCCCCCACCCCCCTGCCAGCCCCACAGACTGTGGGGTCCTGCCGAACACGCAGCAGGGACCCTCCCCCCAACGTAGTGTCTGGCTCCCGCTCCCACAGCCAGTCTGGGGCAGAGCCCGGGCTAGGCCCCAGGAGTCCTGACCCCTGCCCTGCCCCCCAGGTCTCCATGATGGCGGTGGACGAGATGTACGACGACCTGCCCCTGCTGGAGAAGGACCGTTACTGGGACGCCTCCAACCCCCGCGCCCCCTACACGGCGGCCACCGTCTTCCTGCTGCACCAGCCGTCCTTCCAGGGCTCCACCTTCGACATGACGTGAGCCCGGGCCGGGGGTGCTGGGGGCTCCCATGGTTGGCCCCTGGACCACAGGGATCCCAGGGGCACTTGCTCTGCTGAGGGCTCACCCAAGGGGGATGGGATGGGAACGCCGCCCCCCCTTCCTGGAACCTGCATAGTTTGGAGCCTCCCACCCCAGAGCTGGCTGCAGCTCAGCGCCGGGTGAGGGACCCGTGTATAACGAGGGGCCGTGCCCCACCCCAGAGGTGGCTGCAGCTCAGCGCCGGGTGAGGGACCCGTGTATAACGAGGGGCCGTGTCCCACCCCAGAGCTGGCTGCAGCTCAGCGCCGGGTGAGGGACCCGTGTATAACGAGGGGCCGT